TTGGTTGTGTCTTTTTGAGTGGATCCCTGGATAATTTAGATTCACAATTAGTAAGTGGCTCATTTATCGAGATCCAGAAATCACCTAAAGATAAAGACAAAATTCGTATAGTAAAATTAGATTCATTTGACACGTACTGATCACGTATTCGTGTATTAGAAATCATTACATCGAGTTTTTGCAATAGGAGAAGAATGCCATATTATGTATATACATGTATGTATATGCTATTTTATGTATCATATGACTAACGTAAAAGCCATGGTTCCACCCTCCATCTATTTGGAAACACGAGGTCTTCCTGACATCTCCCGAAGTGTTTCTCTTAGTATGAAATACACGGTAACCATATTGTAATCAATTACAAATTAAATTAACATTATAAATCAATTCATGGATGAACCTATAATATGCGAAAATAAAAAAAAAATTAATAGCGACTGTATCTATTCATTCAGTTGACGGATAAATTATTTTATTTTATTGTCTAGTTATTTTTCCGGTTATATTTTTTTTAAATATGACTTTTTCAACTAAAAATATAAGGTTGATTAGACTTGGTTATATTTGATTAATCATAATACGGGTGAGGTCGTCGGAAATAATTCAATTTTTTGGGTAACCTCCAAATTATTTATATATTCTATAAATGTATAACGATCCACTTCAGCCGCATCTTTGCCTGCTATCGCTGATATTAAATGATAGATGCATTAGTAATTTTGACTAGGTTAACAGAAGTTGTAGTTATTTTAATGTCTATTTGGACTTCGTTAAACCTATAGTTATAGCCAAAAGGAACGGACTATACCTTCCTTTTGTTATGAATAACTAATATTGTTATGAATAATAATAATAAGTTTAGCCGTAACCGTGTAGTGTCTGTGTAAGTATATCCACTACCCCATCTCATCCTGGGGGTGTCGTAAGTGGCGACAGAGGAAAACAGACATGGAGATGGCCAGCAGCCGCCCGCGAAGCGTGGCAACTATGGCAAATATCCCCTTACTAGGCAATCTATAGGAAGGCCTATGATAAGCGGTGGCCTTTAATAGACTATAGGTAATAGAATACGAGTTTAAACAACCGCAATTGGCTGCTTCTAGTTCTAGCCGGATAAACCATAATAGCCGGATAAACCATAATAGCTGGATAAACCATAATAGCTGGATAAACCATAATAGCTGGATAAACCATAATAGCTGGATAAACCATAATAGCCGGATAAACCATAATAGCTTGATAAAAAGATATCATTGTGCTTTGTAATATTATTGTAGTCACTTTCAGCAATAGTACTTTATATATAGGCAGAGAAACATCAGTATCAGAGAAAACACAAGTGACTGATGTGATGTAATAAATGTAAGTGTATGTAATGTAAATTCAGTCAAAAAAGAATCGGAAATGGATGATTTGTAAATGGTTACAAATTAAATTTTTTGTTGTTGTTAGATTGGCACAACTGTTTTCCATTTTAGCGCGGGGTTTGAGTTACATCTGTTATTTGGATAAAATACAGTGCTGTTTTTAGTTATATCATATCTAGTGCGTATTCAGAATTTCACAACGGATAAAAATATCGAACAAAAAGTTTGTCTTAGTTTTTAATTCGCCAATAGAATTTCGTGTTCGGAGTCACTGAAAATGTTTAAGAAGGCTTACGGTAAATCGGCTTTATCAAAAACACGTGCTTATGAATGGCACAAAGCGTTCAAAAGCGATCGCTATGTGATGGAAGATTTGCCTCGCTCTAGAAGGCCATCAACGTCTGCAACTGAAGTTAACACCGCAAAAGTGAAGGATTTCTGTGTCTCACGAACAGATCCGTACCGTTTCAAATAATCACTTGAATAGGTATGAAACTATCGCGGTTGTTGTGCACTCGGAATTCTAACTGGGAGGTTAAACGGTTAATAAAGAATATTATTTGAGCGTTGCGCGGCGTTTAAGAGAGCAAATTAGACGAAAAAGGCCGATTTGTGAATGAAAATACTTGGATTTTGCACCATGATAATGCGTCTTCGCACAAGGCCATCATTGTGAACGAATTTTTGACCAAAAACAACAAATACCAACGAGCAACCTTATTCGCCAGATATGGCTCCATCAGAATTCTTTCTTTTTCCTAAACTTAAATTACCACTTCGTGTCACCCGTTTTCTTTCGGTAGAAGATATAAAGGAGAATTTGCAGCGAGAACTTATCCGGAAAAAGTGATTAAAAATGTTTTGATAGTTGAATTATGCGTTGGAGCAAGTATATCGTTTCTGAAGAAGCATACTTTAAAGTTGATAAAATAAACTTAGATGAATAACTAACTTTTGTGTATTATTAATCTGTCCCCGGTACTTTTTTGACAGAGTAGTATGTACGTTTGCATGGTTTAATTTTTCACCTTTAAATTTGTTACCCGAGAATACGAGCGTACCTAGTTCGTATTTTAAAAGCTGTCTTCATGAAATAACAACATACATAACAAATAGATGACAATTGTTATGACAAATTAATGAAAATATGTACATCTGATCACGCTTTAAGATACGACACGATTATCTATCCAAGATATCCGTGACCGATTTCATAATGTCGTACAAGACGCCCGGTTTTCTTAACTCTTGTTACATTGTAACAAAGTCTTATTTCAAAATGTCCATGATTCTTTCCCGCCCTAACATAACTCTTGCCTTAGAGCAATCAATCATAGGACTATCCATTCTTTGGCCTTTATGATGCAACTTTTTGCGAACATCCCTCAGGGCGTCTATGCAAATATTGGCAATTAAGCTGCAGGTATAACGGTTGCAAAAGAATCTTTTGTCCAAGACGCAGCTGGACTTGCGGGAATTTCGAGTGTCAAATTTTGCGTTGCGAAATTTTTAGTACAGTAAAATTATTTTTGTTCATTTGTGGCTGCATTTTAACGATTGATAAAATATTTGTCTCATATTTAATATTCCAATTTGATTATGAAAATAAAAAAAATATTAAAGTTGTTTCGTCATATAAAAATATAATATCCTAAAATATTCTATTTTATTTAAGCCATCTGTTCAGTTGTTATGTTGATATTTTTAATAAGCACTTTAACGTGGTAGAGCCATGCTGCAGCTATATTAATTGTATACTTGTAGCAATAATGGGTCGGCTCAACCAGGGAAGGACCACGCTCTCACAGAATACCAGCGTCAAATAGCAGCTTAATGCTGCTGTGTTTCGTATGGTGAGTGTAGAGAACCGCAGACCCTTTTTACTGTAAAAGAGGCATTCCATTTTAGTCCTCAAGGCTGACAACGCATCTGCATTTTGATTCGCAATCGAGGATACATGTAGATGTCTATAGGCCACAGCAACCACATACCATCAGGTAGACTGTGTGCTCGCTTATCACCCTTTTCCTATAAAAAGGCAAAAAGCGAGCACACAGTCCACCTGTGTAAGTGGATGCTGTGTCTCTATACGTATATATATATATATATATATATATATATATATATATATATATATCCTCGATAAAAATCAAAAGGCCCGTGGGTGTTTTAAGAAACGACCTTCCGATATAATATAGCGGTTTCAAATATGTAATTCGTGTACAAAAGACGAAAAATACTCAGAACTACGAGCAACGCAAAGGTAAAAGACGTTTGGTTCTAGCTGAACGTCTCTCACATCATTAATCCGGCTGCCAAAGGCTCCCTTAAAGTTAAAGTTACAGCCTATATACGTCCCACTACTGGGCGCAGGCCTCCTCTCATTTCTGTGTTTTAAGGCAAGGAAATGTTACTAATGCGTGTTGGCGAACCTTACATATCTTCGAAATATATTTTTTCTTATTTCCCAGACATGCAGGTTTCCTCACGATGTTTTCCTTCACCGCTGAGCAAGTGGTAAATAGGCATTTAAAATTGCTATTTACAATTTCATTTGTGCCGGTGGAGACCGAACTCGGGTTGCTCGCGTACTGTGAAATTTAAAATGAGCGCTTAGCCGCTGAGCTGCACGTGTTTTTGATACCTAGTAGTCCATGAAGAAGAAGAAATATTTTATAGGTGTAAAAGTATATGAAGAAAAGAAAAAATTACGTGAGTACACATTTAATTTTTACGTGGTATAGTCATACTACAGATATATCATGGCTGCAACTATACCAGCGTGAAACAGCAGCTTAATGGTGCTGTATGTAGTTTAGTAAGTATAGAAAACAGGGTACACTTTTTACTGGTAAGCAGACATACCATTTTAGTTCTCAGAAGTGACAATGAATTGATTAATCATGGATAACATAGTGGTGGAAGGCCACATTATCCACTTACCTTGATGTACTTTGTGCCCTCGCTTATCACCTGATGGTAAGTGGTTGCTGTGGCCCATAGACATCTACATCTATCCCCGATTACAAATCAAAATGCAGATGCGTTGTCACCCGTGAGGATTTAGATGGAATGCCTCGTTTCCAATAAAAAGGGTCTCCAGTTCTCTGCACTCACCATACGAAACACAGTAGAATAAAGCTACTATTTTGTGCAGCACTATTAAGCTACTATTTTACGTTAGCATTCTGTTAGAGCGCGGTCCTTCCCCGGTCGAGCCGCCCCATTCGTGCTACGACTATACAACTAATATAACCGCAGCATGGCTCTACCACTGAAAATATAATAAAAATTAAATTGAACAAAAATATATAAAAACTAAATTCAATAGTTGCAGTTAATATCGCCACGCTTGGCAAGTGGGTTGGCAACCGCAGTTTTTTTTTGGCGTTAGGAAGACGCTGTTGCCGTCTCCTGATTTGTTAGGTGATATGGGGAAGTGGATATACTTACACAACCACTACGCGGTACACGGTTTTGTTTATAACAATTGATCGTAAAAACTAAGCAAGTTCAAGCGAGAGTATGCAAATAATCGATCGGTTTAATTTGCTCCAATCTAAGTTATAACGCACTAAAAGGTCAGTTGATTAAAATTTCGTCGCAGTCAGTAAACTTGGCTTCGTAGAAATGAAACTGTTATTGATTAGTGTTGTGTTTATAACTGCGACTTCCAAAGAAGTAATCCAAATTAAATATGATATGACTGAAAAAGTCAATTTGGAAAATGTCAACGATACGTCACTAAGCGAGGAAAACAGAAAAATGTCAGAGGTTAATGCGGAGGAAGCTGTTTTGAAGCCCCATATGTTCGTACCCCAATATGAGAACAATGGTACTAGATTCAAGATTGTCCATGAAAGAGCCGAAAATTAAATGTTGTTTGATACGAAATAGTATAATTTCTTTAGTATTATTAGTTATTTAGTAAAATTGTTGATTTGGACGCTTAGCTGTGTGTTTTAAATTTGAACTGAGTTTTGATTGTATCTGAACCTACATTTAACGGCTAGGTTGAGTTGCGAAGATGTTAAATTATACAGATACACAATATTTTACGTAATATACTAATTCCTGTTTTTAACGAATAAAATGCTACCTTAATGTAAAGCTAGTGTATCTTTTTTAACCGACTTCAAAAAGGAGCAGATTCTCAATTTGAGTGTATGTTTTTTGCATGTATTTTATGCGATATTCTCGCAGATTGTGAAACAGTTTTAATAATCCTTTTTTTACTAAATATACATTACCTCAAAAGTGGTACTATTAAATATTGAAAAAAAATCAGCCCCAAAGGGTGGGAAATAGGGAAAAAGTTTCAGTTTTAGTTAAGGGAAAATTTATTACCTTTTTTAGAGAATTTTCGGTCAGTTTTTAATTTTTTTTAAAGGCTATAATTATATGGTTATCTTGTATAGATGATCATTTTTATTGTGGTTGCTTAAAACACTAACCGCTAAGTTATAAGATTAAATGCATCTTTTTGTAAATCAATTTTTCTGTAAATACAATGCTAGTGCATTGTATAGTTATTTTTTATCGATTTCAAATTGTTATATATCGAATTGTTATTTCGGTACTGAATTTGTGTTAAACTAGCTGCTTCTACACTTCCGTATTTAAAATATTGTGTAATAAAGTGCTCCTGCACCTATTACACAATATTTAAACTAAAAAACTGTACTAAAAATTACTCTCAACGCGGTAAAATAGTATGACTTCAATTACGTATATTATTACAACGAGATGAATTAATAATGCTCGTTTCGACCATTACAAAAATCTCCTGAACACAATTTTAATAACAAGTCTCAAATAATTAAATGGACCCTATTGAATACTGACCACTCATTCGATCCTGTTTGACCCCAAGACTGTAACTTGACCATGGGTCATCTGGACCAATTCCAGATAAAGGTGGACCGTATAAAAACTCCCGATTGGTGCCCGTATACAAAAGATACGCTGACCCTACAAATTATCGTCGAAACTTTTGCTTGACCTTTTCACCCTTACAAAGGGTCTCTTTGCAGGGTTAGGATTAGTTTTGTAACGGACTGACTATTTATGAATAGATTTTATCACATGCCGTTTAGAACTGTTTGTTATAAGCCATATAAAATATTTCTGAACTAATATGCTTGAGTAAAGTAGTTTCAAGGGTGAAAAAATAATTTTATTTTTGGAACATTTAATTTTTTCATTTTTAAGATTTATACTTTTTACAATATCTTGTTACTGGCCAGTTTATCGCCGGAAAATTTTCTAGACGTGATAGTTATTTAAGATAGTTGTTTAGGTATATTTGCGATTAGTGCCAGTCTTTACTAATCTGCTGCTTTGAACTATTATTTAGTCAGTGACGTTGAGGATACGGTATTAACATCAATGGCGAATACATCACTCACCTTCGATTTGCCGACGATATAGTCCTTATGGCAGAATCGCTGGAGGACTTAAGCACTATGCTCAATGACCTCAATAGTATCTTCCAACGGATAGGTCTTAAGATGAACATGGACAAAACAAAGATCATGTTTAATGTCCATGTCACACCTATGCCGTTAGTTGTTGGGAGAACTAAGCTCGAAGTTGTTGATGAGTAAGTTTACCTGGGACAAATAGTCTGGCTAGGTAAGTCCAACTTCGACCATGAGGTCAATCGACGGATTCAACTCGGCTGGGCAGCGTTCGGGAAATTACTACACATCTTCTCGTCAGGTATACCATAAAACCTGAAAACTAAGTTGTACAACCAGTGCGTGTTGCCAGTGATGACATATGGAACTGAGACGTGGTCCTTCACTGCTGGCCGTATGAGGACGCTCAAAGTCGCTCAGCGAGCTATGGAGAGGGCTATGCTCGGAGTTTCTCTGTGTGATAAACTTAGAAATGAGGATATCCGCAGTAGAACCAGAGTGACTGACATATCCCAACGGATTAGTAAGCTGAAGTGGCAATGGGCCGGCCATATAGCTCGAAGAACCGACAACCGTTGGGGAAAAAAGGTTCTCGAGTGGCAGCCTCGGGCGACCCCCCACTAGATGCCACTCCATCTACGACCTGGTAAGACATGCAGGAAGTCGATGGTAACTCAGGACCGTGCTTTGTGGCATACCTTGGGGGAGGCCCATGTTCAGCAGTGGACTTGTAAAGGGCTGTAATTATGATGATGATGATGACGTTGAGCAGTTTTAATATTCGTGGCCATAAGATAGGTTATGGATATTCATAGGTCACCACCAAAGAAAATAATATTACTCCATACTATATATAGTGGAGGTTAACACTTTTAAAAATTAATAAAGGAAATACTTCGGTTATCTGTTATAGCATACTACTTATATGCTTTAAAGACTGCCGAAATATTTTATAATAACTTTTGGAACAAGCGCTTAAAAATATCTGTCCGTGAATAATATTCAGGAACATATTATAATTGAAATTGATTAAGTCAATATGATTGTGGATTAGCATTTTTAAGACAAGAGGATTTTAGATTTGAATAGGTAAGAGATGAAACATTAAGCACACGAGAGTATACATTTTCTTTAAAGAAGTAAGGGTGGTACACGAGCACCATAGTCATCACGATGGTAAGCCGTTGTCTTCCCTGATCAATGTAGGCAACCCTACGTCATCAACTAGATGACGTAAGGATGACATCAGCTCTAGGTAGAATTTTCTGTTTTTATAGATTTTAGAGTGCTATACATTTTGTAGTTTTTTGTTTTAATAATTTATTTTTCATATTTAAACTGTTAACAGCTTAATAGTTGTAGTTTCAAGTTATTACGTTATAATTTTCTACAGCTTTTCAAGCAATTACACAGATTGGACTTTGGATTAGGTTGACTATATTTCCCCTTAGGACGACAGAATATAATACCTAGTTGCAAGTTTTTTTTAAACACACACAGTCTACCTGATTGTAAGTGGATGTTGTAGCCTATAGACATCTACAAATATCCTTAATAAGGAATGAAGAGGAAGACGCGTTGTCAGCCCTATGGACTAAGATGGAATGCCTCGTTTCCAGTGAAAAGTATCTCAGGTTCACCACACGAAACACAGCAGCATTAAGCTGTTGTTTTACGCTGATATTCTGTGAAAGCGAATACCTTCTCCAATTCCCATTCGTGCTACGATCTTATTATAACTGCAGCATGACTTTACCACGTATAGAAAATGAAGAACAAGTGAATAGGATCTCGTATAATTCGTGAGCAATTTTTATTTTTTATTTTCGTGCGTTAATATAAAATACCCAACTTAAGCAATAATATTTTAAGAATCGTCGAGTTTTCGTCGAAAAGGTGTGTCTGAAAACGGACAACAAAATTGTACGCTTTCGCGATACAAATGAAAAATTTACGCTCGCTCGCCACCTGGGAAATAATACATTAATGTCCAAATTGCTGCATCAGAACGAAAGTTGATATTACTGTAATTTACAAAATAATTGTTTTAATAAGGTTAATTGACAATTTTAGTAATACTGTACTTTTTAATGCTTATATGTTTAAAAAATGAAAAATGACAATCGGTCATTCCATTACATTGACCTGAGTCGGGCCAAAACATCAATTATTAAGTTTTTCCGTCAAGAAATTCTCAGTAGCTGCCCGGAGTCAGTCTTGGCGATGTCTCACCCCCGTGCCTCAGAAAGCACGTACAGCCGTTGGTCCTGCGCCTGATCTCTCTCCAGTCATGTCGGTTTACGGTCCCATCGGATTATGAGAGTGAGGGAATAGAGAGTACACCTGTGTTTGCGCATACACTTGGGTACTTTAATCCTGTCCCGCACCGATGGCTAGTCTCCGTAGAGGCAGGCCGCCGTGGCCGAAATTCGGTGTGGAGGACATTATTATTATATGGTAGAACCACATTGCATCTATATCATAATACAGTATTAGCCGCATCACGTATTGCCTGCTGAAACGAAGAAAAGCCACGCTTGCACAGCATCATTATTCACCTGAACTATTCGTGGAAGGCACAGGCCTCCCCTAAGGAATTACACAAAACACTGGTCTGAGCCATCAGCATCCATTAATTTCCTGCGTGTTTTACCAGATTGTCGCTCGTTCTAATGGTAGACTGCCCTGTATTTGGTGCATTCGTACGAGCGTACCACTCGAGAACCTCTTTCTCCATCGGATTGTGGCCGTAGTAGGAAAAGGGGAGATCTCCCGCCGGGCAAGGTGTTCTGCCCGGGGAGCGGCTCACACTCCGTGTGATAGTTTGGAGATGTTCTATATATACTGTCTATGATTCGGAATGTTAATAGCGCGATTTAGGCTTCGGTGTGTTTCGGTGTGCTAGTGGCGCGACGACAGTGCCGCTACAGGATGTTTTGGTTCTTCGAACTACTGCCGGCCCACTACCATTTCAGCTTAACGATCCGTAGCGCTATTTCGATTACTCTAATATATCAGCGTCAAATAGAAGCATTAAGACGCAGTATGTCGTTAATGAGAATAGAGAATCAAAAACCCCTTTTATTAGTAACGTTCTTGTTCGAAGACGTAGAGACGCATGTATACGCAGTAGAGTCACGCTGCAGGTATATTATGGTTGTAGCACGAATGGGTTGGCTTGACCGGGGACGGACCACGCTTTCACAGAATACCAGCGTAATATAGTAGCTTAATACTGCTGTACTTCGTATGGTGATTGTAGAGATCCGGAGACCCTTTTTTACTGGGAACGAGGCATTCCATCTTAGTCCTCAGGGGTGACAACGCATCTGATTATTTATCGGGTATAAATGTAGATGACTATGGGCCACAGCATCCACTTACCATCAGATGGACTGTGTGCTCGTTTGTGTAGCTTATTCAATATAAAAAAATATTGAAGCACGTAGATTTCGG